AGAACTTGTTAAGAGAAGAAATCTTCTTATAGGATAAAGGTTTGTGATATCATTACATATTAGTAGTTTTCTGAAAATTGGAAGATACACTGCAGAATAACTGTAGAAAGATCAGAAAACACAGAAGTCAATGAATTGCAACATTGCCAAGTTAAGGTTAGTCAGTGCTCCAAGTTCAGAAATTCTATTTCACTTGGTCAGCCAACTTTTTTTTTTGAAGTTTGAATTTAAACTAGCACTTTATTTATTCAATTTTTTGGTATGAACTTATCAAGTCTCTATTTAAGCGGTTAGAAGAAGGATTCAACCATGTGACAATGCTTGAAGATAACTTCTTTTCTGGTATCCTTCGTTTTTTTACTCCTGTGTTTATCCTTTCAGATGCTTCTTTGCTTAAAGACTTTTAAATTTTGGAAGAAAAATTCTTGTTTACCACTAAATGTCAAAGAAGAAGCAAACGATATCTTACTTTATCAATCAGTTGACAGCTGGGTGGAATCACTATTTTGTAATGCAGTTTTCTTGAAAAGTTTTTTCTCAGAAAAAGAATTTTTTGCATTTGGAATTACATACAACATTTCTTCCCAAAATAAGCAATTTCAGATTATTTCTGCTTAACAACCAAATGTAATATAATTTTTAACCTCAGTTTTTCCTCCCACTGCTGTCGTAATCAACCCGTACAAAGTTGTGTAGGTCGATTAACAACACCACCTATACAGCGTTATTAACAAGTTTTATGTACATCTAACATTTAGGATTTTTGGCCCTTTTCTCGCTTTTCAAGCAGAAAACCTTTCTTTAAAAAAAGTGATTTATCAGTAGATATTTCTGTCTTTTTAGTTCATTATGGAATAAAGTTTCTAAAAGGGCCAAATTAAGTTTTGCGTTTCTTCTAAGTAGATGCCAGCTGCTAAAATATATTTGTTTTTTTTTGTTTGTTTAAACAATAGTTTTCTAGTGGCTTTACAAAACAGAAAAAGCTGCTGTATACTTTGAGTTTTCTTTTCTTGATTTTGAACCGTTAAAAGAACTAAGATTAGGGCAGTTGTTTACTTTTTTCGCTCGAACTTTTACAAAAGATGGGTACAATCGTCTACTTTTTGCTTCTCTTCTTAGCGAAGCTACTTCCTTATTTAAGTATAATTTGTAACTTGAAAAAACTTCCAGACACTAGTCAGAATGAACTGGAACCAGACTTGCCTCGATTTCTACAGTTTAATTGAGCTTAGAAGGTATTTGTACAATTGCAAGCGACAAATTCTGACGTGGCGTGAGACTTTACTCGTATAGCTTTGCTATGTCTCCATAAAGTGGGGTTTTCTATGCGGTCATTATAGTTTATCGACGTTTTCATCCCCAGACTGATTCGGCGATTCGTTACAGCAGAAGGCAGTTTTAAGAGCTTGCTATTTGAGTATTTCATTTTGAGAGAGTTAAATTTTAAAAGCTTAAACTTTTGCTCATTGTTATTTTTCGTAAATCTGTTTGTGTCTTTTATATCAAATGTGATTTCTTTCCTTATCTTATTTTTTTGATTGCAATCAAAAGGTCATTTATACAGTTATAAGGCAATTTGTAAACCGCTCTTGTTTTTATGCCTAAACGGATTTTAAGACCTTTTTTGTATTTTGGTAGAGGTTGTCAAGGGACTGGTGGTGCTGGTGCAATGGGTCAATAAATGTGTTATCTTAGTAATTTGCTGAGAAAAATGCTTATATCAGTTCTTCTACTAGTACGTGTTTTGACTTATGTACAACAACAGGCACTTTTTGAAAAATTATTGTCTCTTAAGGATTGAATGCCATCTAATTTGCTTTTGAATTTGACATTTCAACATTTTTTTAATGCGCGTATTGCTTTCTAAGATAAAGTTATTTTTGAGAAGCTGAAGATTCTTCTAAAATCTTTTGTTGTGTATCTATTCATTTTTTAGTTCAGATGCTGAGTACAGTTTTTATGCTTATTGTATGCTTTCAGATGTAAGTAGGACGGTTTTTTTGAAGTTATGAGGCAGTTTGTGAATTTTTTTCAGTTTTCATGTTTTTTAATACCTAACTTAGTTCTGAAAATTTATTTGTTCGTGTATTAGATTGAGAATGCAGTGGTACTGGTTTGATAATCTGGGAAATGCATTAGCCTTATAGGAAGATGACCGAAATTTTTGACTAAAACTGTGGGTTGGAAGTGCCGATCCGTAGCTTTTTTAAGGCTATGCTTGAGTATTGATTATTCCTTTTTTTCTGCTTTTTTTTTTCCCCCCCCCCCACTATCATGCATTGCTTCAGGTTACCAGAAAAGTGTGGTGTCATCCATTACTATCATTTCTGTGGTGTGTGACATAACTGTAATGTTAAGCTTTCTATTATCTTCATTCTTCTATTCCGTTTTCGTTTGTTGCCATAAGAAAATTTTTGGAATTGATCGTATGGGGAACAGGTCTGGCACAAGAAAATTTTTTTGGTTTTATTTCTTCACCAAGTTTGGTAAGAGAGGTTTTCTTCATCAAATTTATTGTTCCGCCTTTGTTGTTTATTTAATTTTCTTGGTTATTGGATACTCTGAAGTGGTGTACCAGCGATTGAAGATAATTTTTTTCCCACTTAACTTTTTTTATCTTTTAGCGGGTCGGGTTTAGGTACATTGAACGCTCAACTGCTTTCTGAAACAGTGAAAAAGAAACCGACTCATCAGTGACTTGTTTTTTACTGAATTTCTTTCTTCTTTGGTTTTAGAGATTCAGATTTTTTTTCTGTGTCTTTTTGCAGTCTATAATTATGTTTTTATCGTGTAATCAACCTTTTTCTTGACGTTGCTATTTTCTATTTCAATAATTGATCAATGTAAAGAGTTATGGCAATGCTTCTGTGTGTGAGAAAGTTGGAGCTAGTTACCTTATAGGGCTTTCATATTGATAATAATTATATTAGTTTATCAAAATAGTAAATTCGGTCTTACAAATGGCTTCACAATTTTCTTTGGCGCAAAAATGGAAGTCTTGTTCCTCATAAAGACTACCCAATCTTTTTAAATTGTCAGAATATTATATTTTGTTTGTCTTACTGTATTTGTGGAGTTTTTCTCGTTTTATCAAATTCTTGTCTTGAAAAGCGGCTTGGCAATTTTGGTTTCAAAATGACAGGAACCGCTGTGTGCTGCTTAAGAATACTATATGGAACAAGGCAAAAAAAAAAAAATCAGCATTTTAGCGACAGCATCTTTCATTTATATTGCTCAAAATAACATGAAGATTTTCTGTATAAAAGTAAACACTGGCATCAAAGTAGGGGTTATGCGTTTCTATGTTCTGTAAGAATTATTTACCGCAAGCTTCTGTTGTCAACAAGAGTAAAATTAAATTCATCAACTACAAGCGTATATATATTATTTTCGGTTTAATTCGGTTCTTATGGACAACGAGCGTTTGTGGCACATAATTCTGAAAATGAATGAAAAGGAGTTGAAAAATTATTATTTTTGGGTTGAGAGAAGGAAGATGAGAAAAAAGGAATAAATTTTTTTTTTCATTTTTTTTTAACTGTGCTTTTTTAAGCCAAATGTTTAGCCAAGGAAAAGCAAAATGGAGTTGAAGAGCAGTGGACGGTGTGGGTGGAGTTGAAAAAGTAAAGTTTAGATGGAGAAGAGTTTACTACCAGTGACGTAGAGGACTCTTAGTGTGAGTTGAAGTTTGCTTCGACAGCTCTAGAAACTGATAGGTAACGTTCGATGTCTGTTTGCGTGCATATAATCTCATTGCTTGTAATAATCTTTCTTGTTCACAGTCTCGTGAGTTACGTTTCCTTCGAGCAAGTGCTTGTACAGGCAATTTTTTCGCATTTTTCCACTGGTATCTCTCTGATCTTCCTTTGCTTTCGCACTTCCAAGAGGCACGTCTGTTGTTATAGACGTAGATCATAGTGCGGTTGCTATATTTTTAACTAACAAAAGACTAACAAAATTCGTCTCAGTATGAACCTATATGGATAGGTGGAACTTATAATCTGTGTTCTTAATTAGATCACCCAATTTAAGTGTCAACTACAGCAGCTAGATAACACTGCTTTTTGTTCAGCTTGTTATAACTCCGTAGACTTTTTTACTGCATGTCGGAAACTGTGGTACAATTTTAAAAGCGCTTCATCAAATATGTTGTACTTTGTGGCAGCATTATATGCAGAAGCAGAAACACAGTTTTTGGATGTGAGGATGTTTTCAAAGATTATAAGTTTTTCAAGTATTTTGATATAAAATAAACAAAGCTCGTAATAATATGTAATCAAACAGACTTGTGCACCACGGCATGAACTAAACCAACAAGTTCTTTACTTATTAACTTGTTTAAGTTTGTTTGCTCTCCAGTTATTTCAAAAAGTCCATTAGTTTCAAGTTATCAAAAAGTGATACTGTTGCATTTTTTTTACCGTTTCTGTACTTCCTTTAGCACTCTTATAAAAACTTTTGAATCAGTAAGGAAGGAACTAAACAGACGAGTAGAAAAGCATGGAGATTTACTGCTGAAAAATCAGGCTTGGTTTTTGTCACTAATTACTTTTGATTATGGGGAAGGTAGCATTGTCCTGGTCAATTGCTATAGCCGTGTGTACCCTGTATCTAAGAGAATGGTAGTTGGTGCGTAAATTAATTGATTGATTCACCTGATTGAGAGCATTGGTAGTAGTTTTCCACACAACTTATAAAGGTCTTTTATTGATAAGATACGTCTATGATAATAAAAATGTGTGTTAGGCCAGCAAACCGCTGCCACCACAAAAGAAAGGCAATGGCAGGGTCGTGACACGGACACATCCCTCCTCTCTCATTCCTCTCACTCCCCTGCCGTAGGCAACATTGGAACAGTGCGCTTACTGTCCACACCCATGACACAGGCTAAAACATGCGACGTTACACTGCACGCTGCCATCATTACCAGAGATTGATAAAGTGGAAAATTTGATACACAGACAATAAGAGAACTTTTAATACGTAATTCTGAAACGGATTTATTCCTTCTTCTTTTGCGGGCCAGTTCCAAATATCGGTACTCTCCACGTCAACGGAGGATATATTATATATAACGACAATGTTATCACATTTACAAGTAATGCAGCCATATTAGCCACCTAAAATAATAAACTATTTGCTTGCGTACGAGGTTCTTTAAAAAAACTTAAACCTACCGCAATGTAGTAATTCTGGACGACTACTCCATAAATTGTCCATTGAATGACTAGCACAAAGATTCCAAATTGTAATTCAGCCGGAATGTACTCAGTGTGTTTGAACGAAATTGCTCGCTTCTAAACAACACTAATTGGGATGTAATTGATGTAAAAAACGAAGGAAATTAAGAAACTCACAATTTCATAAAGTTGTCCTCCTAAACTACAGATTTGCATTGCAGCAGCTATACTGCCCATTGTATCGGCAGCAGTTAAAGCAGGTTGTGAATCAACATACCGGAAGATTGCAAACAAAGATATGAAGAGGCTGGCTAATTGCCCATACAAATACTTCTAAAACTGTGGTTAATGGAAAAAGAAGCGAACTCCTCACCAAAAAAACGATGGTAAAAAATGCTTAAAAAAGTCATTACCCTTTTTGGCTGAAAGTAAGCAAATGACAGAATATAGCCAGTGAAAAATAGTATATTGAAAGCATTAATAAACATATTAAGTTTATCGTTGGTCATGTAACCATGTTTAAGCCAGCATGATGTCCTATAAAGTAGAGATCGTTGAGTTATTCGTCAATCAATGGTTCAACAAACTTACATTAAACAGGGCAAGACAAGATTAATCGACGAAAACCCATCGGCAGAACCTCGTTTTTTCCAGTCAATTACTTGGAATCTATAAACTATAAATAAAGGGTCGCTGTCAGCGAAATGTCAGCTAACTTTAGCAAATTAATTGCAAAAAAGCAGAAGTTTTCCAAAATACGAGAGAATCCTCACATTGGTAACAATGTAAACGACATGGAGAAGCCAACGAGCCATACTGAAAATATCGACAACCACATAACCAAACCTACAATTCTCCAACCAAATTATACTTTTCCTAACGATCACTCTGCTAGAAGTAACAGCGATTAGGAACGAAAATGAAACAGTTCTGCAGACTAATATTTACTCGCTAAAACTTTGCGCCGTAAAACACTACTCAAAACTGTATAGTGTCATGAAAGAAAAGGACAGTTTAGATCTTCAACTCCATAGGGTAACAGTAAAGAAAACAAATGATGAACTTTAATGGACCGTTAGGAAAGGCACTTTGCCATAAGCTACTATAACAGTTGTCTAAGCAAGTGATAACCTTGGCGTTCAGCGTATCAGTGTACACCGCAGATTGACCTAAAATTGTGACGAAAACAATGTCCAACAACACATCAGTGCACATCAATTTGCATCTAATTTGTCACTGCTTAAATAAAAAATGGACATATTTTGGTGTCATCAATAACTATTTTCCAGTAACCACATCCGGGGAATTTTTTTAACAGAACTCTTCCTCCATATACTAATTCAACAGTTTACTTACTGCTTCTAACGTTTTACACATACGTACCCACATGCTTACAGATGTGCAAAAACGTAACAACCAAAATGCATTTATAGAGTCTCATATTTATTGTTGAAATGATAGAAACTTTACTGAGAAGACACCTCAGTTGCCTGATAATTCCTCGACTACCGATAAGAAAAGTACCTTCTCAGCCAAAACTTTTCTATAAAATTGTTCAGTACTATTCTGCTCAATCTGAAAACACAAGAAAAAAAATATGGAGAATAAATTGTGTTTCAATTATATGCTTCAATATCTGATTAGCATCGCAGATGTTGGTTTACTACAGCGAGCGAAGATCAACGTCTGTTGACCGTTTGTATTCTGAAAGTTAATCATGTGAATCTCCTGGCATTTTATGAGTCAAAAAAAATTGCTAGGAATTAACACTCTTTCAATCTGATTTACAATAAGGCAAGCAATCCTGTCCAAGAAAAAAAAGCATTTCTCAAAATACACAGACAATGCTTAGTCGACTTTCAAAATGACTAAGCAGCGTTGCGCTAAGCAGACGAATGATTGACAGCGAAATGTTTAAAATTCCTTTTTTGAACTTTTGTCGAATTACTTATTCTAGCGATTCCCTTCGAAACCTTACCATTTTCTGCACTTCGGTCTCTTCCCAACTGCTACCAAATCTTTACCTCTTATTTTTTATTCACCTACATGTTTGGATAAAGCAGATTTCTCCTAGTCTGCAAACAAGTAAACAAGAAAAAATATCAAAGAAAAAAACCACCTTTGTACAATAACATTTACAGAAAGTAAGAAATATTCCAAAAAATTTTAAAAAAATTGACTAACTTGCAGACCAAGGCAATAAATGATTTTGTAACACTAAAGCACTACAGCACAGTCTAGGTGGCAAAACGACTGATATCACCACCGAGGCAACTGATGATGATTATCAACCACAGTTTATAACGCTGTACAATCAATAGCGAGGAATTGCCGTCCCATTAAATAGTTCATATTGCTCTCCAACTCGCAATAATAATCAAACTAACAGCTGTTTTCCCTAACTAAATGACAAACCAGCAACAAAAAAAAAAGAACATTTCAAATAATACCCTTTCTAATCCTAGCAAAATCGATTAAACAACACCAACAATAAAAATAACAACAAAAACACATTATCAGAATTCTCTACAGCAATGACAAAATAAATAATTTGTTCCCATACTTCTTCTGCATTCTATTCAAATTAATTTAGTTGATATAATCAAAAAGAAAAAAAACCGTTGCAGTCTAAACGTCCGAACAATACAAGCAACCCACACAACAAAAATTAGAAGACACTGATTTCTTGAGGTGAGTATTATAGATTCCATCCATTTCCCTGCAGCATCAGGTAACTCTAAAAGATTTTTGAAAACTCCTCCGCCGTCTGCCTTACGACGATATTTAACGATGATTTTTGCTTAACAGACATACATCGTATTTTAATCACCAACATTTATTTGACATTTCATGTTTTGCCAACAAAAGGCTCAAAATACAGGCTGAACTTCCAAAATAACTACAATATCTGTAGATTTTTTTCCTTCAAAGAATAAAGATGTGGCTCAGAGAAAAGGAACAGAAGAATGATTTTTAACTTGACAGATTATTAATGATAAATACCGTCTGAGCTCAAGTCTAAAATACACTTCAGAAAGCGAACAAAGAGCAGGACTTTGTGAACTTTTTCCTCAAATTTATTCCTAGCGGATTCACTTAAAAAACTAACTGCAAAAGCTAAGAAACTAATGCTTTGAACACTTCTAATTACTGTTTAGAAAAAAAAAAACAAAAAGAATAAAGCGAAGTTACAATTAAGATTAAAATAAAAACAAATAATGAGCAAAGACAAAAAAGTGAAAGTTTGCAGAATTTGGAGAAGTTGATCAAACAGAATTCGCCGCAGTCCCATTTTGGTAATTCAAATTTCAAAAGAAATAAGGAAAAGAACTGAAGACCCTACAAACAAAATGTAAACTTCTAAAAAATAATATAATTTAAAATTTAGTATTTTATTTTAATTTTAAAAATTGAAAGAAAATAATTGCAATGCCTAAAAGATCGGTCTAATTCAATTACACACTGTTCACTTTTTTTTGCTTCAAAACTGGGCAAAACAGTTTTAAAAAAAAGAAATGAAAATAAAAAAAAAAAAAAAAA